CCCCCACTTTTTTGGTAGGGTCTCATATAGTCCAGTTTAGCCTTGTACTTGCTATGTAGCTGAAGACAACCTTAAACTCTTCATCTAACTCCACTTCTCAAGTACTGAGAAAACTGGTGTGCATAGTTAGGTTGCCCCAGCTCCAGCAAATAAACTCTCCCTCCCACCTGTACACACACACATGTACACATGTACACGCGCGAGCACACATGCACACAGAGGGGAGAGCAGGCAGGAAGAAGAGATCATAGACTGCCGAGCAATACAATCCTATTTCTTAAGAAAAAAAAATATATTCACGACTTCCTTGTTCTTGGGAACTTAAGCTTTGTCCTCATTATAATAATTAGGTTCCCATACCAATCATAAAGTAACTGCATCATCAGGTAAGATGGGTCAGAGGTTGGGTATGGTGGCACACATCTTTAATCCCAGTAATTATGAACTGAGGCAGAGGTGGGTAGATCTTTGAGAGTCAAGAATAACCCGTGCTACATAATGAGACCCTGTCTCATTAACAAAGGGGGGAGGGAGTAGAGATTAGAAGAATATTGTGATTTTCTCTATAAAAATCAGTATTTTCTTTACAAAAATACACGAGCTGGAGAGAGGGCCCAGTGGTTAAGATCACTGGCTGTTCTTCCAGGGGATCTGAATTTGGTTCCAGCAACCATGTCAGTTCACAACCATCTATGACTCTAGTTCCAGGGGATCCAATGCTCTCTTCTGATCTCTGCAGGCACCAGGCATATACATGCGCACTTACATGCATGCAGGCAAAACCTTCATACACATAATAAAAAATAATTAAAAATTAGGGGCTAGAAAGAAGGCTGGCTCAGCAGCTAAGAGCACTTAGCTGCTCGGTGAGATGACCTGGGTTCAATTCCCTGCATCCATATGGAGCTCACTCCAGTTCCAAGGGATCTGATGCCTTCATTTGTCCTCTGAGGGCACTGTATCCAGACACACATGCAGGCAAACCACCCATGTACAAAAACTAAAAATAAATCAGCACACAAAGTAGCCAGTTTGCTCTGTTTGGTCCTCTCACTTCCCCCCCACATCCCCTTCACTCTCATGTCCTCTACTACTCTTCCCAACCCCCTTACTTAGAGCCCCCTTTTCTCCTCCCACAGTTCCCTTTTTAGTTTCTTCACCCATACTTGCACTTACTTTCACAAAAGAGTCAGGATTCAAGTATACAATTAACTCCTGAGCCTAACCTCAAAATAATGAACTTGCAAAGTCTATGCCTACTGCTCACCCCTGCCCCCCAATATAAGCAATCTGCCACACATGGCCATCACATCAGCAAACACTTGTCCAGTTCACTGTTATCCATGCTGCTACTTGCGAACCTCATTTTGTAAAGAATCGGCATCTGTCAGAGGAAATTCCAGGTAATCACAACAATAGGGACAATCTGAATGGGAGGTCCATGAAAACCTCAGACATGCAAACTCCCAAACAGTCAGTAGTTTAAAAGTCTGGTATTCACAGGGCTAGGTGTGAAGGTGCACCCCTTTCGTCCTGGCACTCAGGAGACAAAGGCAGATCCCTGTGAGTTCCAGGATACCTTGGTCTACAGAGTGAGTTCTAGGACAACCAAGGTCACAGACAGAAACAATCTCAAAAAAAAAAAAAAAAAAAAGAGCAGAAAGAAAAGAAAAAAAAAGAAAAAAAAATACAGAAATCAGGAATTGGGCTAGGAGGCTGGTGAGATGGCTCAGTGGGTGAAGCACTTGCCATATACAGACTGACAACCTCAGTTTGAACCTTGGAACTCCCATAAATGTGGAAGGAGAGAATTAACTCACGCAACTCTTCTCTTATCTCCACTAGTGTTCCAATGTTTCCCTACATAATACACACACACACACACACATATACACCCACACACACAAACTTTAAAAAGAAATCAAAATAAGGTGCAATGGAGGTCTCAACTAGCCTGCAAAAAGAAAAAAAGAGGCCAGGTATACAATATGCCAGGACCACCAGAGGGAAGTCACTTTTCTCCAGGACCACCAACCAGATTTACAGACCGAGACAAAGGTGTGGCAGAGGCCCGCCACAGTCCGGTGAAAGGCTTTGAAGCAGCACTTAGCATACAAGGATGGCACATATTTACTAGATGAAGCCTGGATTGTTCAAGGTGATGACTAGATGATTCTTCACAGAGTTCCAAGGGTTTCCCCATTCAGGGTATAGTGGTGCACACCACAATCCTGGTGCGGGACAGCAGGAACTGGAGAAGCAGGAGTTCAAGACCAGCTCTGGCTTTATAGCAAGTTCAACGCCATAGAGGCTACATGAGACTGAGTCTCAGGAAACAAAAACAAGAAAAAAAAGTATTTCAAGGCTGTCAATAAGGCTCAGAGAGTAAGGGTGCCTGCCACAGAGCTTGATGACCCGAGTTTGACCCCTGGGACCTGCATGGCAGAAGGAAAGAAGTTACTCCATAGGTTATTTTCTGACCTCCACACACATGCCATGGTTTGCATGGCATGTGCACACAAAAGAAAAAAAAATTCACTAGCAAAGAAAAATTCAAGAATTTTAAGCCCAAACTTGTGATTTCCCCCTCCCCTTTCCCCTTTTTGTCTCACACAAGTCTTGCTATGTACGCCTAGCTGGCCTGATACTCATTTGTATAGCTCAGGCTAGTTTCAAGCTCATAGCAATCCTCCTGCCTCAACCACCTGAGGATTACATATATGCACCCTTATGTAGGTGTTAATATGTTTTCCATATTATTTCCATGTTTTCTGGAGGGGCTAGAGAAGTGGCTCAGAGATAGACCACTTGCCTAGCAGTCACAGGCCTGGCTTCAACCCCATAATGCAGCAATGCAAAACAAAAACCTTTTACCTTGGAAACAAGTTTTGCATCTGCATTGACTACTTAGGGAAGAAAGGAAACTAGGAATGCTAAGGGCACTGAATAAATGCAACTGAAACAGCTGGTCTGGTGGCCCAGGTCTAAATCCCTGTAGTGAGTAACTGAGGAAGTGAGAGCAGGGTCAGGAGTTCAAGGCCATCCTCAGCCCTGTTAGAGGATAGCTGGGAAAATTAGATGATATTATGCATAAGTTCCTTTTAATAAGCAATGTAACGGACACTTCACATAGGATGAATTCTAGCCCCAAATATCTAAATGTCTGTAGCACTAGCTAGCACTTTCTAGGAAATATACGTAGCTAAATATATCTAAAGGAGGTCATAAGGAAGAAGCCTGAAGAATTTAGGTTTCTATCAAGTCAGAAACATGAAAAAGCAGTTTTGGAATAAAAGAGACTTCTTAGAATTATCCAGATATAATGGGAAATTCTGTATCCACATATATTAAAAAACAATTTAAATATGGATTGGGTTTTAGCTAATATGAACCTTTAATTGTAAAAGTTATTTTGCTTACGCTATTCTAAAAGACACACAAATCAAGAAATAAATGTGTATATAAATTAAGTAAGACACAAAGGAATAGGGTAAAAATTATTCAAAAATTTAAAAGAAGTATGAATGAATACGTGAGAAAATATGTGCTAAAGATTCAGGGTTAGAGCTGACAGTATGCAGTTCAGGGTAATGAAAAGCATGGCCTGGATGAGATCAAGTCACCCAGGAAATTATGTGAGGCAGACACAAAAATGCACACTAAACAGGTAATACTACAGATCAGACACAGGAATCAGGACCATCAACCCTGGAAAAGAACACTGCCGAATAGGAAGCTCAGGGGGTCAACGATATTCCAGAAGCCAATGGAGTATCAAGGTAGATGTGGCAGTTAAGTTAGATCTTAGGTCTGAGGGTGTGGCTCAGTGGGCGAGCACTCACTACAAGGACATGAACTCTGTCCCTAGCACCAGAATCAGCACAACATCCTAAAGAGACATCAAGCTGGCTCCAGACTGAAAGGACACTAACAAACAAAACACAGTCACCGCTGACTTGATCAGAGGAGTTTAGGTCGTGACTGAAGACAGAAGTTGAGGTTGGAGGAGGGGACTGGACTTAAGCAGTGGAGAATGGAGAAGTCTGGGTTCCCCAGAAAAGATCAAAATCCATACAAAATAATACGGAATGTTCAGATAGCTTCTAGTAACTAATGAAACAATACAGAACAGGCACAACAGGCTGGAAGGACCAGGGGTTGGCAGCAGACTGGTAAACAAAGGATCATCTTTAACTTCAGGGAATGGTTATGCAAGAAAAGCACCTGCTACTGCATCAAAACAGCCTCAAATGCAACAGAATTCTACTTTAGCTCTACATGATGGTTTTCAAATGGGTTGATACTGCAACCTGACACACACTTTTCACTGTAAGAAATGGGCCCATTCCCTTAAAAGTCAGATGGAAAACAGGGTCAGGGAGATAGCCCAGCAGATAAGAGCACTTATCTGAGGGCAGGAGGACTTAGAAGTCTATAGGTATCTATCTATATATAACATATATAATACTAATAGTCATGTTTCATTCCAAACATAAGCTTACTAAATATTCTTTAATGTGGAAGTAATTTTCAAATTTAGACAAAGCATATGGGGTATATGCCAGTAATCCTAGCACTTGGAGGCAGAAGCAGGAGGATCAGGAGTTTCATGTCTGTCTACCTAGAGTTTAAGTCCAGCTTGGGCTGCATAATGTATGCTCTCAAAAATAAAAACACCAGAAAAAAATTATTGAAAACTGAGACTGACATTAAATACAGATCTGAAACATAGGTTTTACGCACATATTTGAAGATAACCTTAACTCTTATCCACCTGTCTCTGTGTGCTGATTAGAAAGGTAGGTGCTACCACACCCAGTTTATGTAGGTAAGTACCCTACAAACTAAGCTTCATCTTCAAGCCTCCAAACAGACCTTCAACTGCTAGGACTCATATAAATTATACTTTTACATAAGTACACTGAAATTGAGTTCAGGAGTTTAAAACATATTTAAGACCAAAACTTTTGTTAGCTCTTATCTGTGGCGCGTCTCCTCACCTGCGTGGCCTGGTCCTCGGGGACATCATTTCATTGCCAAGTATGTGGTACCGTCTTGCTTCATGCAGCAACTGGTAACACTCAGGAGAATTCTGGATCAACTGGTCCACCTCAACTGTCTGAACAAAGTAGTTGGGATGCAAGAGAGGGAGTCTGACGTGCGTCAGGAGCTCATGCAATAGTGGCCTTCGCAGATCAACAGCTCGGTAGACCCAGCGCATGACGGCCTCAAAAACCATCTCCTCTTTCCCAATAACAAGTTCATCGCTACAAATATAATCAATAAGTTCATCTTTATCAAGCTCAAGAAATTCTTCATGCTGGGACACATCCTCAAAAGTCTGTAATGCAAAGGTCTTGCACTTTGTGAAGAGTGTTTTGAGTGAGTGGGTGTCGGCGAAGCGCTGGATCCCTAGGCAATTGCAAGGGTCAAGCTGCTCCTCTAGGAACTTCGCACACGCATCACGGAGAACACTGATCTGAAAGAGGCTGGAGGTTTCGAAGAGGTACTGAACATTCTCGGTTGTGATCTTCACCTTTCCAGTGTACACATACTGCAAAAAACATTCCATAGCTTCAGCTAAAATGCCGTTGATCTCAACCAGCATTTCTCGGCTCTCCCTGTGGTCGTTACAGAACATGGCTCTAAAGTAGCTGCTACAGGCCGAGAGGACAGCTCGATGGCAAGGAAACTCCTTTCCTTCCACACAGATGATAACATCTGTGAATAAGCGGCTGTCTCGGAACTCATTAAATATCTGGAGTATGTTCTCAGCGTGGGATGATCCTGAGGAGAAGTCAAAATACTCGTGACCTGTCAGAGATTTGGGGTCCATTTCAAAAACTTTACGCTTAGTTGCTGGGGAATCACGCACCCCAAGATCCTCTCTGTTTAGTCTGCGTCCCAATATTAGTACCATTGTTACATCAGGTGACTATATAATGGTTGAGAAATGGCTGCTAGGGATCTTCTTTATGTGGCTAAAGAAACATAAAAATAGGCAATTTCATTTTTATGTAAACATAACAAAGTCACTTGATTAATATGTTCTACAACATATACCAGTTTATTTTACTAAACACTGATAAAAAGTTGCACTTGCAAGATTAGAACCTGAGTGTTATTTGCAGTATCCTAGAGCCCTCAGCTCAAAGGGTTCTATGTATCCTCCAGGCGATCAGTTTTCACCGTCTCCTGCATGGCAGAGGTAAGAAAGCATGCAGAACTGGACTACCCATCTTTTAGCTGTCAGTTTGCTTCTCTGAAACAAAGTCTCCCCGATGGAGTCTAACATGGTCTAGAACTCCTCCTGCCTCAGCCTCCTGCAAACTGTGATTATAGGCATATACCACTAGGCATGGCTTACAGCCAGAACCTTAATATAAAGTTATTATCTTTTTTTTGTTTGAAAAGTTATTATCTTAATATGACAGTGCTAATACTTATCTACCATTATACACAAAAATATGTAAATTGTATAGCTCGGTGGTGGTGGTGCATACCTTTAATCCCAGCATTCGGGAGGCAGAGGTAGATGGATGCCTGTGAGTTCAAGGTCAGCCTGGTCTACAGAGTGAGTTTCAGGACAGTTAGGACTGTTATACAGAGAAATCCTGCCTTGAAAAAAAACAATAAAACAAAACATAAATTGTTTTCTACCATGTTCCTAAAGAAATCACCAGGAATTTGTGGTGGCACACACCTTTAATCCCAGCACTCACCCAAACTCAACCATTTATGTACAGAGATGTTTAGTGCTGCATTAACAGAAAATACTTAAAACAAGCTAAGGCCCTATTAACTAAACCCTAGGATATCTTCAAGATTAGAAGTTTATTACAGCCATTAAAAAGCATACAGACTTGGGTGGGGGCACAGTTCAGTTGGTGAGGTGTTTGCCAAGTATGCATGAAATCTTAGGTTTGATCTAGTATCACATAAACTAGGTTCATGGTACACATTTGTAATCTCACCATTTGGAAGGCGGAGGCACGGAACTCAAGAGTTCTTAGTCATGCTTGGCCATGTAGTGACTTCTAGGCTAGCCTGGTCTACACAGAGAGCTCTAGTAGGCCAGTCAAGGCTATAGAAGTGAGACACTATCTCAAGAAAACAAAAAAGAACTATCTTTATTCGAATGACTGAATTCTTTGGTTACTCGTAGTCATCTTTGAGAAACTGGGTGGGACATATTTCTCAGTCTGGGCCCCCAGAACCCATGCAGAAGGAGAGAACACTGACCCTGCAAGTCATTTTCTTTTCTTTCTTTCCTTTTTTTTTTTTTTTTTTTTTTTGAGACAGGGTTTTTTTGAGCCAGTAGCCCTGGCTGTCCTAGAATTCACTCTTTAGACCAGGCTAGTCTCAAATTCAGAGCTCCACTTGCCTCTGCCTCCCGAGTGTTGGGATTAAAGGGGTGTGCCACCACTGCCTGGTACAAGTCATTTTCTGACATCTACATAGATTCTGTGGCACACTTGTGCCCTCTAGCTTAACGAATGAACGAATGTGAAAATAAAGAGCAGCACCTAAGTAACCGGCATGTTTAGCATTTTAAACCAGCACTACCTACTAATAACGGAAATCTGGAGGGAACTGCATTAGTTAGGTTTGTTATTGCTCTGACAAACACCACAACCAAAAGCAAACTGAGAAGGAAAGGGTTCATTTCATCTTGAGGCAGGAACTGAAGCAGAGGACACAGTGCTGCTTACTGGACTATGTCCTGTGTCTGCTCAGCTGCTCGTTTACACTGCTCAGGACCACCCGTCCAGAGGTGCTATGCCACCATATGGCCTGGGCCCACCCGTATCAACCGTCAAAAATTATCCTATAGAAAAAAAATTGTCCTATAGACTTGCCTACAAGCAATCCTATGGAAGCATTTTCTCAAGAGGTTCCTTTTCCCAAATAACTCTAGCTGTGCCAAGCTGACAAAGAAAAAAATCACACTAAGAGGCACAAAAACAGAAGCAATCAATAAACACCTCCTAGTTTCTAACCTTAGGCGGATTTATAATGTAACTTGCCTTTTTTTTTTTTTTTTTTTACAGACTATCTGGTTAATACATCCAATCTTTAGAAGCACACTGTTGATGCATGACAATATATGGCAGCACAGACAAGATGCCAAATTATAGCCCTCCTCTAATTTATATTAACTTTTTGGTGCTTAAGATGGCAAAATCATAAAAGAACATAATATTCTTTGACTTCCTCTAAGAATGCTGAGGGTGGGGAGGGATCAGGAATAGCCAAGCATGATGGTGTATGCCTGTGAACAGCACTTGTGTGGTAGAGGCAGAAGGATCACAAGTTCAAAGTCATCCTCAGCTAGAGAGTACTCTAGGCCAGCCTGGGAAACATGAGACCCTGTCTCAAAACCAGCACAAAGACAGAAATAGTTATGACAGAAGTCATATCTGAATCGTTACTATTCTAGATTAAATTGATTGAATTAGCTAAAAGCCAATTTCCCCAATCAAGAATTTATTCTTTGTAACAGCTCACCCAGTTCTTCATCATCATCATCACTACTGTATTTCACATAAACCACTGGTACTTTGATCAGAAATATAATTACTGGTGCTGATGAAAATAAAAACCCTTTTAAGCTGGGCATAGTAATGTATGCCTACAATCTCAGCACTCATGAGGCAGAGGTAGGAAGATGGCTGCAGGTCTGAGGCCAGCCTGACTTACACAAAGATATATTGTCTAAAAACTCAAAATGAATCAACCAAACCAACTAGCCTGCCAACAAGAACAAAATTACACGCTCCCTAAGCCACAAGAACAAAATTGCCCTCTCTCTTAAAAGCCAGCAGTTTTCAACCCGTGGGTTGAGACTCCTATCGGATATTTACATTAAGATTCATATAAAATAACAGTTATGAAGTAGCAATGAAATAATTTTATGGTTGTGTCACCACAACACGAAGACAGGTATTAAAGGGTCGCACTGGGAAGGTTGAGAGCCACTGCTCTAAGTAAAAACAATACCTCATCTACCTGAGCCCGCTGGCTCCACACACATTTACATTTCCCTGATACCTATAGGAAAACATGGAACAGCTTTCGGTAGCTAGTGCAATGTATCAAACATTACGTAAAATTCGGGGCACAGAGATTGACTAAAACTTGGTATCTCTGGACTTTCTAAGAAAACTCTTATTCACCAGCCTTCAACAACCAAATACAAACTCTTACTAGTTATCACAGGATAAGTGATTTGCACAGTCATCTTAAAACTGCTATGCTTTCAAGGTTTAACTTTGGGACTTCCATATATAATTAATCAGTCTTATGCTTTCCCAATTATTACAAATAAAGTATGTACTTATTGCTTGCTTTTCAAGATAGGGTTTCTCTGTGCAACAGCCCTAGCTGTCCTGGAACTTGCTTTGTAGACCAGGCCTACCTCTGCCTTCCAAGTGTTAGGATTAAAGCAGTGTGCTACCACCACTGGCTTACTTATTTGTTTTTTACAAAGAAATCAGCAATGTTAAAAATATAACAGCAGTTCCTGAGTGTTAAGATTACAAGTGTGCCTCACTACACTCAACCCAATTCTGTCTTAAGATAGAACTGGTCTGGCCTGGTAGTGGTGGTGCACACCTTTAATCCCAGCACTCAGGGGGCAGAGGCAGGCGGACTGTGAGTTCTCTGTGATTTTTACGCCAGTCTGGTCTACAAAATGAATTCCAGGATAGCCAGTGACACAAAGAGAAACCCTGTCTCAGAAAACAAACAAACAAACAAACAAACCTTGCCCCATTAAAAAACTTGTCATTGTTATTCACTATTACTCTGGCTGGCACCAAATGATTCCAGGTTAAAGAAGTGAAATGGTTTAAACTCCCTAATAACAATGATTAGCAAATAGCTAATAAACATAAATATACCTTCTTAGCATTTGTTTGACCAAAGCTCCAGGTAAAATACTTGTGTTGTTTAAATTTCCACACCTAAAATAGAGAAAAGTGACATGTCAATCAGACACTATCAGTTCAAGTACATTAGTAAAATGCTGAAAACAGTTCCTGGTAAGTTGCAGTTCCTAACTGGAAGTTCATTTTCATATAGATCATTAGTAGTAACTTTAAAGCAAATTAATAACTTTATATCCAATAATATTCAAACTTTACTATTCGTTTTAACAGTAAGCTAAATTTAACAATGACATGAAGAAGTGTATAACCTGTGATAATTTCACTTTGAATATTTGAAGGAGGCTGAGAAAACCTTACATTTCATTCAGATTTGATGGAACTCTAAGAGTTGAAGTATCAACTTGACCAAAGTACAGTTTCTTCACTATGTACTACATAGAACTATGGAATCAATTTGAGAAAAATCTCAAGAGCTTATCAAAGAAAAAGAAAACCCACCCACTTTTAAACTCTTGCTTTACACACACACACACACACACACACACACACACACACACACACTGCTTTTTCGAGATTGGGTTTCTCTGTGTTAACAGCCCTAGCTGTTCTGGAACTAGCTCTTGTAGACCAGGCTGGCCTCGAATTTTGAGAGATCTGCCTGTCTTTGCCTCCCAAGTGCTAGGATTAAAGGCATGCGCCACCATCTGGTTTATATTTATTTTTATATAGAATCTCTAAGCTTATCAAATAATTTAATATATTTCTATTTATTGTTTTATTGAACCTTATAGAGTTAATGTCTATGCAACAACTAATTCAACACACTCTACCTCCCCCCGGGCACGTGTGTGTGTGTGTGTGTGTGTGTATAGTAGACGGGGGTGTGTGTGTGTGTGTATAGTAGACGGGTGTGTGTGTGTGTGTGTGTATAGTAGACGGGGGTGTGTGTGTGTGTATAGTAGACGGGGGTGTGTGTGTGTGTGTGTATAGTAGACGGGGGGGGAATGCTTAGGAGAAACTACTAGGATTTAGCACTGTGCACAGAGGAGCACGTGTGTGTGTGTGTGTGTGTGTGTGTGTGTGTGTGTGTGT